GTCTGTCTGTGTCGCGTGTCTGTCTGTCTTTTAGTCTGTCTGTGTCGCGTGCCTGTCTGTCTGTCTTTTAGTCTGTCTCTGTCTGTCCATCTGTCTGTCTCTGTCTGTCTCTATCGTGTGCCTGTCTGTCTTTCAGTCTGTCCCTGCCGTGTGCCTGTCTGTCTGTCTGTCTGTTTTTCAGTCTGTTTCTGTCTGTCTCTGCCGGCTCAGTCTGTCGTGTGCTTGTCTGACTGTCTGTCTTCCAGTCTATCTCTATCTGTCTCTATCGTGTGCCTGTCTGTCTTTCAGTCTGTTTCTGTCTGTCTCTGCCGTGACAGAGACAGACAGACAGATTTTCTTGAACCTTGGTTTAAGGGTGGGGTATGGACCACAGAAGAACATATTAACCATTGAAGCACATTTGATTATTCACTTTCTTTAACGTTGCAAGATAGGTGCTTTCTTTATGAAAAACACCAGGTCTGCTATTTTGGTTTGGGTCTGTATAAAGATCTGGATGTATCTATTCTCAATATATGTACTGCATATGCAATATGGTGAAGTGGCCATCAGCCATGGCGGAGGTAAGTGCTCTGTGACTGCCCTTGTAATTTTATATTGAGATTTACATTGCCTCTGTAATCAGCTTTTCTTCATACATTTTGTCAGATATGGAAAAATCAATATGTCCATCCTAAACTGAGGGAAACCTTTATCTTACCCGAATGAAGAGCAGAGATCAACATACTCATCCATGAGCAAGTTACTGAGGGCAGCAAGATCTGTGAAGAAACATAGTGTCTGTGTGAACATGGTTCCAGCTTATGTAGCAGTGTCTGTGAGGGTTGACTGTCTACTGCAGTCTAGTTGAGATCAATTTAAGAAAAATACAAAAATAAATACAGGGAAAGTCCTATAAAAAGACATGTTATTACATATCACCTGTCATATTACTGATGTTTATTGTCAGGTTTTTTTAAATGCAGCTTGTGTCACGAAGCAGGTTTTGTATATACTGACAAAATGTAACAGTATATACAGTATATTACTAACTAACAGCTGCAGTGGCTTCAGTTTGAATTTAAAAGCAGATCAAGTTTAATGAGAGAGCTACAGCTAAGACTCGAGACATCTTACGGTGTCCTCGACATCTTCTCTTTGCTGAATTTGATCTTCTGCCCTCAGGCAGACGATACACAGTTTAGGTCCAACAGGTTGGAAAATGATTTTATTAACTCAGGCCATCAAACTATTCAATTCTAGTCAGACATTTCCTGTTCACTCCTGATGTCTGAGGAGGGTTTTATTTTTGGTTTTATTGATGGTTTTACAAGCCCTCTGTTTTCTGTAATGTGATGTATTTATGTATTTTAATGTTTATTTTTCTTGTGCCCAAGTTTTTTTTTTGCCTGGCTGCAAAACAAATTCCCCCTCTATATATATAGGACAGTAACGTTGAAGTTGACAGAAAGTGGTTTGTTTTTTCCTCTAATTATTCCTAAATGTCGTGTAGGCTCGCATCTAACATCCAAACTCAAACTGGCTAGGTGTGCCTTGTGCTCTGTGACACAGTCACAATCATTTCTCATCTCTCAGATCAGTTTGTTTGTTGTCAGTATGCTTTATACTCTTTATCTGAATGTGGTGATCTGGGGCATCACTGACAGATGTAATTGGACAGATTCAGAGGGTATGGAAAACAAACAGACAGTTCCCATTGTTGTTAAAATCAAAACTCAGTCCAAATTGTTTTTGTTTCCGTCAAGTCTAGTGTTTGAATCAGTCCAATTCATGTGACTGGAGTCTACATCTTTGGCTATGTGACTCAAGTCTACATCTTTGGCCATGTGACCCTGCACTGCAAGTGTCTTTGCTCCAGATGACCTCTGTCCCTGTCTATCCATGCAGTTATGGACATTATATATAGACCTTCAATCGATTATAATTTCCATTACTGATTAATGTGTCAGTATTTTCTGAATAACTGTTAAGTAACAAAAAAAAAAATGCCCATCAGACATTCTGAGAGCTCAAGAAGACCTTCACTTTGAAATTCTATTCATAGTTAGCACAAGAGAAGCAGCATATCTTTACATTTGAGAACCATCAGGATAACATTGGACCAAACACAACTCACATTCCTGCCTGATGATTCATTTGAATGATTGACAAATTATAAGAATTACAGAGATTGATAAAGATAACAATGTAGTATCAAACCTTCTAAAAGACTGTTTGCAGTATCAGTCATTTACATGAGAGGAGATGAGTGAGGATGAGTCACGACCTATACACAGACTGTGGTCATGACGTCTAGAGTAATAACATCATAGCAAAGTAGAACAAATGAAACTTACATGTATCCACTGTGAGGGTCAGAGAGCCTGCAGCACCACACGACCTGAGCACAAAGAGTCAACGTGATCTGAGACGTTAGAGCTGACTTTGATCTAAAACTGCGTGTGTGTGCGTGTGTGTGCGTGTGTGTTCACTTTATTTATAAACCTGATCAAATCCGCTCCCGATGATTCTCTTCAGTGTATCTCATTCCTCTACGCGTGGTTAACATTAGTTAGCTCAAACAACCAACCTGAGACCGTGAGTTCGGCTCTGCTCAGTCACCACAGCGCCCCCTGCGGCCAAAAGGGGTGTAGGTTGGAGTTGGGTGGGGGTGAAGTTGTGTGCAGAGCAGATAATGTTATTTTGTCTGCTTTCGAGTTGAGTCTTATTATTGGGTAATCCATTATATAATGTGTTTTAATTAGTGTTGTTATTGAGTGGAACAGTTTCACCATGTTTCTGTGGCACAAAGTGGAAATACTCAGAGAACAGACGCCTCATTTACTTTAGTAAAATACCTGATGAGTTGAGGCGTAACTATGATCCTGCATGTAAAGGCAGATTCAGTACCTAACTTTTAAGTAGATATTTTGATAGAACTTCATATATTTATCCCTCTGTTTATTTTATACATTTTATTCTAGTTTATGTATTTATTATTGTATATTTATTTGACTTGTTCTTTCCAAATCTCTTTTAGGATGTTTACTTTTCTATTTATCATTTTCATATCTCTTAACAATTTTCAAATCGCATCTTTGACTGATTCTATTCACATCTCTTTTCAGATTTGCTTTTCCTGATCTCTTTCAGTATTTAATTATTTCATATTTTCACATGTTCACAATTAGTAATCATTAGTTATTAGTGCATAAGAACAGCCACTCAGCTATCTATATATATGTATATATATATGGACAGGGAACAAAATGCAAGTTCATTTGTAGCTAATATTCAGCATTGTTTGCATTGTCTCTCTACTCAAGTAGAATAATATAATATGAATTCTCAATTTTTTAAATTAAGGATAGACCACAGCTGAAATCCATCACTGTTGAGTTTGACTCCAACATCATTTATGATTCAAAGATTCAACAGATTGTTTTAGGCTGCATGTAAATAATACTGAATGATGTCCACTTTTTAAGCATATAATATATTCATGATTAAATCTGCACATAAAGCATGTTTAGAGAAAACTAATGGGTTTGATCATCCTGAGTTGAGGATATTTATGAGTTTTCCATTTCAGAAACAGAGAAACGTTAAACTCAAGTTCTGTTACTGTAGTTAAATGTAGTCAAAATAGTTTAACAAGATTTAAGTTACCGTGTTTAAATTTACAACATATTAATGAATACATTTATGACATCTGATTTTGATCTTCTGCTTTAACCAGCTCTAGCTCCAGCCCTCCACACTCTGGCCACATGAGGTCGGGCATTGTCCTGCACCAGGAGGAACCCAGGGTCCACTGCACCAGAGTAATGTCTAACAATTGCTCTTCAAAGATATTCCTCCCCAGACAATCACTGACCCACCACCAAACTGGTCATGCTGGATAATGTTACAGCAGCATTACGGTCAACACAGGGTCTCCACTCTTTCACATCTGTCACATCACTCAGTGTGAACCAGATCTCATCTCTGAAGAGAACAGGGCCAATTCTGGTGTTTTCTGGCAAATGCTAATCACGCTGCACGGTGCTGGGCTGTGAGCACAGGTCCCACTAGAGGTCATCAGGCCCTCATGCCATGGCAGTGCTCCTGTTCCTCCTCGCACAAAGGAGCAGATACTGGTCCTGCTGCTGGGTTGATGCCCTTCTACAGCTCTGTCCAGCTCTCCTTGTGTAACAGTCAATCTCCTGGTATCTCCTCCACGCTCTTGAGACTGTGCTGGGAGACACAGCAAACCTTCTTGTGACCACATGTATGGATGTGCCTTCCTGGAGGAGCTGGACTACCTGTGCAACCTGATTGGGCTGCAGGTACCGCCTCATGCTACCAGTAGTGACAAGGACACAAGCAGAACACAACACTAGAGAAGAATCAGTCAGGAAGGATAAAGAGAGAGCAGCTGTCTGTGGCCAGCACATGTAAAATCATTCCTTTTGGGGGTTGTCTTGCATACATTTGCAGACGTAGGTGAAACTGATTCATTATCACTTGTGCTTCTTAAATGGACGGATTGATATCGCTGAAGTTTAACCGACTTGCTGTTATTCTGTGATGATTAAGTGTTCCCTTTATTTTTCCGAGCAGTGTATTTCAAATTGTATTGCAATATACACTACACTTCCAGTTTTATCACCCACTAAAAATGGAACTCTTAAATAATGAATGAGTGGATTGACTAAAATGAAATAGTATTGCATTATTATTAATCTCTTTCCAGTCTTTCACTGCTGCTACTGTGTCCTTTAAAGATAAATGTGCATGGTCACATATTAATATTTCGGGCTCAACTGGGTTTATATGGCGGCCCTTCTCTGTATTTACCCGTGTCATTGTTAGTTGTCCTATCAAAGCTCCACTGACGATGGCGTTTTGCATTCAGCATGACTTAACACACAATGAGCATACAGCTGTTCCCATCTCAGCTAAGGTCCAGGGTTAGGTGGCGTTTGTTAAATCTGCTTTTTGGAACAGGCCGTGGAACATTTTCTTTAAACAAAAACAACTGCTTTAAATGATCTTTAATTGTTTTCATGATGTGTCAGTTCACTTCACATTAATCTCGATAAATAATCAATCTCATATCTTCTTGTCTCTCTGTAACTCCATAAAGTCCTTCTGCAGATGTCACTTTAAAACAGATCAGTCACAGTATACACCAGGCAACTGCAGTGTAGTAGCATCATGGTTCCTGGGCCCACTGATCTTCACAGTGTCTTTGTGTGACCCTGCTGACTCTCAGTATGGTTTGCCTCCGACATCAGCAAGCATCTCTTGCCTCTCTGCAGCAGTGGGCATGTCAGGTCTCACCCCGTTTCTTCTCCTCTCCACCATTACGTTGTGCTGCATGGACAAAAACAGAAAAGATTTTGTTTAGAAACCCATTACATATTTGACTTGCTGATACTATTGCTTTCTATTATCAGGAGAAAATTGCATGTCTACTCGCACTGGAAGTAGATGCAGCAGTAAAAGCTTGCTACAAATTTAGCAAGTCAAAGTCCATTTTTAAATGATGACTAATACTCCTCACACTGTTTCATATTTTTAATTAACAATATGGATTTTACAACAAAGATATGGAAAGCAAAAAGATAAGAGCAATCCAATCCAGGCAAAATAATAAATAAATAAAAAGAACAAATTTACTAGACAATGCAGATCATTAAATCAGATCATTATATTACCCCATGTGTACAATTTCAAAAAACCCTATCACTTTGTTATTACGGGGGATTTAATGTAGATTGGGGACAGTAAATCTTTGGATAATTTGCTGAATGGGAAAGTTGTTTAAATGTTCCAGAGTTTTCTTCATTCCCTTTGTATTTGCTTCTTTTACAAGATATCTCGAGGGCCCAGGGATGAAAAAATCCTTTTTCCACTGAAATTGCAACTTGAAATTATTACACTAGCAAACCAATTCAATGAGAGAAATATCTAATCACTTTACTGCATTCTCGAGTATTTAGTATTCCAGATAATTAAGTCCAGACTTTCTCCAGAGGTTTCCTTGCACAAATGAACAACACAACGGGAGATTCTCTGCTCAGACAAATTAACAATAGCAGCAAATTCTCAGGAGGATTCAGGTGAAGGGTGGTGCAGCAGGCAGAGGTAGGATGGAAAGTATTAATTCAGCATAATAGTACAGCAGGGAAAAGGTCTAGGAAAATTATGCTTATGTTTGCAGTGATATTATGGTTATCTTCAGGGGTGTGAAGTAAAACTACTAAAGGAGTGTTAATTAAAAGAAAATGTACTCAGATAGAGGTAAAAATTTAGTTAGTCAGTTAGAAATCACACAGAGTTAATTTTACTGAAGGGGAAGAAATCAAAACCCTGTATGCTAATATTAATGACACATGATCAAAGCTACTGAAATAAAGAATCAAACAGAATACATCAACAGAAAATTCACAGATGTATAAACATAATAAACTTGTTTTTGATAATCTTCTACTGGATTGAACAATGAGTCATTTGTTGCACACATCTGTTTGAATGCCACTTTGTGAATCTTACACACCTCAAACAATCTGCAATTAATTAAACCTCACTGATGAGTGTAAAATGTCACAAGTCCATTGAGCCTCTCTGGTCTTGCTGTTCATTTCTTTGAAACTCTGGTTTAATTCCTTGTTGATCACAGCTGACATATAGAAAAAACATTTTAAAAAATAACATCGGGAGCCAAGGAGAAAAAAACCATTTGTGGGCTGATCTGACATGAGAAGAATGTCCTCTGTAAAGAAAATGTTGCTCTGTTACTTCGATCTTTTTTTGGAAATCTTGAGAGATTTCACACAAGTTTGTGAAAGTACTGAAGATATCTACTTGGGTCTTAATTAAAAAAGCTGAACCATTTTAGTGAAAGGGAGGGGACTAATGCTTGAGACTCCTCTTTTGCTCATTTCAGACAAACATGTGACACCTCCATGACTTCTGCCCCTCAATGCCCAGTTGGTCATGCAGCATCAAAGAGGGAAACATTGCTGTCTCCCCAAACATGGTCAGCTGAGCATAATGCCAGACGACATATGTCTTTCAGGTTTGTTGCTGTGCAGTTCACACACTGACTCGCGACAAGGGGTCACAAACTACATGATCTTTTCACCTGGTAACAGAATGAAACATCATGCTGGAGTATAAGAAATGAATCAGTGGACATTCACAAATTGTTTTGTGCGGCTCAAGCTCAAACTTAGCCTACTACTCAATTTATTTCTACAGGACTTTACATAAGCTCAAAATGCAAAAGTCAAGGAGGCAACTCACCACTACATGCACCTTTACCAGCATCATCCCCGTTGTGCGATGCGACTGGCTGCAGTTGTCCCCGATTTGTGTAAATATTTAGCTTGCTACAAGTAGAGTCCGAGTCAGCAAGCTTCTCAAATCATTTCTCTGTGGAGTTCACTCATAGCAAATGCAAACTGCTGATCGAACGTGGGTTTGGCTCTGATCTAAGGCTTTGGTCTCTGACTTCCAAAACTCCTTGGCCAGTGCAGAATAATGCTAAAAATTGTGTGGTGTGAACTACGCTTAAGCAAGCCACAGGTATGTCTACTGAGAATCAAAGCTGATGAAAGCAATGCCATCCAACTGCATTTACATGCACAATGTATTTGCTAATATTTCTTTTTGAATTAGTGTAATTACTTTGTTCTCTTTGATACTGAAAAAAAAAAAACTTACCCAGTATTTCCTACAGTTCTTATATTTCAGGAAATAGGCCGAACACTTGCCCTTATCATAGTTGTAGACATCCAAACACTTACGAGACGCATCACTTTCCTGAAAAAGAGAAGCATTTGCAACAGAAGAAAAGGATTAGCCATTTAGAGAGAATGTCATAAGCCAACAGTATGCAGATGTTTGACACAATGCAGGATGTCAAGTGACAGTACGCTTACTTCGATGCATGGGTTTATGTCCTGATTCCGAAGTTTTTTTTTTTCATTTTTATCCATCTGGATCTGTGTACAGACGGACAATGTGTAAAGGCTTAGACATTTCTCGTAAGTAGAGTCTTGGGTGTGAGAGTGTGTGTTTAGTGTCATACATTTGATTATTATGGATTAGCTCATATTAATTCATAAAATATTGGTGTGTTTTATATTGACACACAGGTACCATTGAAAGTCCTTGAACAATTGAAATGTCATTTTGCATTTTACTTTCCTTCTACTAACTAATCAAAGAATTACCTTTTATCTGAAAAAAAGAAGAAACAACTTCACAGAAACCATTGACTGATGCACCACAAGAATATCAAGAGCAATGCTATTATAATTTTGTTGACAGAAAGTAGATTATACAGAGAACTGAAATTTTGCTATTTTATTATAGAAGCAAATGCATTGAAAATAATGTATTAATCTGAGTGCATAAACAAATAAGTATTTATATTTATGTTACAAGTATATTGAGTATCAACTACAGATATTGCAGAAACCTGCAGCTGTCCTGATGATAAAACTCAAAAGATTTTGCTAAGCAGTACAGACGAAAAACCAAGGGGCACCCCTGTGACCTTGGGTTTAAGCTGCTGACCAAAAACTGCAAAAACAAAGACAGGGACCATTGTTGCATTTTCATTCTCCATCTCTTCACTAATTTCATGCCATCACGTTTAAAGGCTTTTCAGTACTGACGTCAGCCAACATGTACACAAACACTGATGTGTCTGTTCAAAATGAACATTGATCGGTCATTTCAACAACACTGATTTTCCACCTTTTCATTTCTAACAGGTCCCATGACAACATGACTGTTTACTTCATGTATAGAGAGAAAATACATCACAATCTATTCCACATTATTAAGATACATGACACACATGGTGCTTATACAATGCAAACACATGAGCACGATGTGTTTTAAAGTAGAAGACACTGACACTTATCAATATCATTTTGATATTATTAATAAAATGACCTCAGCTTGATTTTTAAAGCTGCTGTTCCTGCAGCAGAATGTTTTCATTCATAAACCAGAGGTGAGCCCTCACCACCCCCCAGCACACACAGAACCATAGCTGACCTTCATTATCACCCTGTGACCAAACATGTAGCCACGTTTCATCCCTGTGACAAAGTTAGACGAAAGTGACACTGCTACACATCACCTACCTTTTAGAAATGCTAACTTTGATCCAGGCTAATGACTTGTGAACGCGCCGCGTGTCCTCACGAGTGAAGGTGATCCGGGTTTTTAAAAGAGCACGATCAATGACAGGGCTATAACCCGCTTCCTGGGTCCAGAGGAGAGGTGGACACGTGCCGCTGTCCCCTCGGAGAGCTAGCTACAGGCTTCTGCTTCACGAAGCCAGCGAACAACTTTACACTACATGGGGCTAGCTAGCAGAGCTACCCGAGCCATAGCATGTAGCCTCCCCGTCATGCTCGAGACGAGTCTCGTTGATGCAACAGCGCACCAGGAAAATCACCCGCTCCGTCACCGGCGACTGACAGCGACGTCAGCCAATGGTAACCTCCGAAAGCTACCCACGTAGACTGACAATCCGCCGAGCGAATAGGATTCCTTGGCAGACATGATGGTTTTCCTATCGCTGAAATTTGGACGAAACCAAGTTGAAACGATTGACAGCGCGTGCAGCAAGTCCAGAAAATGAGTTTTATTAAAAGGGACTGTGGCGGACATGGAGGCGAGAGTGGCAGCGCCCCGCACAAATCAAAAGGCACGGGGGGCGGGAGTTGGGGTGGGCGTGGCTAAAGCCTAGTGCGGTTGCATCGCAGCGCATACACAATGGCTGCTCGAAAGAGGGGAAAGCAAACAATTTTCAGGCCCGCCGCGTCTAGCAAAAAATATGAGAAAAAAATTATTAAAAATTCGGAAAATAGTTGAAAGTGAAGAAAAACTCAACAGAAAGGATGTTAAAGCGTCCGGGGTAAGTTTGATGTAAATTAAGTAAACGGTTACACAGTTCTTGAATTAAAATATCGGGGTTATTTAAATTATGAGAGAGGGGTGAGCTGGGGAAAAAGTTTGTGTTAATCAGTACCCAGTTTGGGACCACAGAGAAAACCAAGGGAGGCACAAGTAATGAAAAAAAAATTAAAATAAATTGTGTCACTGGTGATATTAGTGTCACGATGAGTGTCCACGAACATTGAAGAGCACGGGGATCGGTGGAAAGAAGGGAAGTTGAGTAAAGTTGGAAATAGCCTCCACACAGTTTATTTTTTAATATAATAACAGCGGCAGTGCGGTGCTCGCCGACAGCAACAGGCGCACACGGATTCGGCAATTCTGTCATTTTTCCTGCTGTGTGCACTCACGTTTATTTCTGCCTGATACAGCTACACACTTAATCACAGACAGTGTCAGCACGTCCTTATCGATCCAAGCATCTCGTTTCCAAAACTATACCGCCGAATGCGAGCATGTAGCGGCTACACTCCTCTTGTCATGCTCTTTCACTTTTAGTCTACAAACTGTATCGCGTTTCCATCCTTTGCAGCTATTGATCCCGGCGACACACGGCTGACACTTGGGCTGTGACCCACTCGGAGGCTAATAAACAAGACACGGCTTGTAAATAAAGCAGCAAAATGGAGGTAGATCTTCAGGCAAACTAATTATGACATGCTGAAGATGTGCGTTTGCAGCCTGCGCCCGACGTGTCACACACACACACACACATACACACAAACACACACATATACACATACACACACACAGCTTGTTTTAAGACCAAAAGTCAACTTGTGTTTCAGTGTGATCGCTGTGGCAGGTTGCACCGAGCACGTTGGGATATGTGCTCGTACTGTAAAGCTGCTGCTGCGCATATCTCAGTCTATAGGAGCCTGTCATGTCAGCACCGAGCTGTAAACACGAGCTGCTCGTCCTCACATGCTTCAACGCTGCGGAGTTTCTCCTGTCGCACTTTAGTTGTTGTGGCCAGTGTGTTTGTGCCGGTGGTGAGAGAGCTGATCTTGAAACAGTTCCTGAGAGGAAGTGTGTTGTCAGTGTTGGCTCACGTCTCTGTTTACACCTGTCCTGCACCTTAAACCGTCCCCACGCACCATGTGACATGCAGTCACTCTGCAGCTGTCTTGGTACGACTTCAATCTGCAGTCGTTTCCATACTAAACGGTTACTGATGCCACTTTGTCATTTTTATATAAATGCACCTGGTTTGAAGCTGTCGTGTACCTTATCCTGATTGTTTTATTTGCACTTCAATGATGCTGCTGTCTTGAACATGTGCTTTCTGTTAAATGAAAACTATTCCCGGATCTTGGTCTTACATGATGTATAATATCTTATATCGTCGCGAAATTAACATGAACTTTATGGTTGAAACATCGAGTTATGTTGCACTTTTATTTTAAAATATTTTAACTCAGGGCATTAGAATTTTGAAGAAAGAAGTAGTCTCTGCCTGTTTTGATAAATTATGAGTACATACAGTTAATCTGCACCATCAGCTGAACATTATTATTACTATTGTTGTAATTATTATTACGATTATTATTATTGTTTCTGTTATTAGCAACATCATATAGAAACAGAAAGCTGCACCTTTTGCCCAGGCAAATATGAATTGCACAATATAAATGTGCTATAATAATGATAAAACGTTGCTTAGTAATGAGAACACAATAATTCGATTTTTTTCTTTGCTTAAGATTTGTCAGATGTGAAATGGTTCAGCTCCTTAGAATTGTAAGCTTTGACTGAGAAATAATTAGTTATTAATAATTCATTAATTATTGCAAAATAGAAGTGTAGTTATTTTTAATTATTGAGTTCATTTCTGCTAGACATGCAGGAATCACTGCTTGTGATTACTCTTCAACAGCAAGATGCTCAAAGACTGATTCCAAGCTACAGGAGAGTTTTCAGTTAATAACAGAAAAATCAACACTTTCCAGAGTTGATTGAGGGACAAGAAATTATCTGCTGCTTGGAGAAATGTATGACTTAAAACCAGTACAGATAGAAATAAGATATAAATGTTTTTAATTCAGCCAAGGGAATTGTTTTCATCCAAATGTTTGTTGGCTTTTGTGTTAGTTTATTTGTTTGCAGAATTAGTTAAAAAAAACTACTACTGAAACGTTTTCCACCAAACTAGACTTGAGGGATATGGCCTGGCCCTTTGGAAGAACCCATCAAATGTTGTTGCGGATTAAGGGGCAGATCCAGGATTTAAAGAAAAATAAATCAATTTTTAACAAATAAATCAATCATGTTATCAGGTCATTTCTCTTTTTCTTTTATATTTCTACTATAAGACCTGTACAATGAGTAGGATTGTTCAGCCTGGGCAGAGGTTTACCCTCTACTAAGTGACAATCTAGTTTAATATCTTGTAGATTTCCCACAATGAATGCAGATTATATAAACCTTTGCTGATAATTTGTGACTTTTTAGTCTCGTGTGAATTTTCAGTAATAGAATCTGAGAATGATGACAGATGTCATCTCTGTCTACTGCATTTTCCCTGTACAATCTCATGGATTTAGTTTTTTTTAAACTTGTTTGGGTTGAGATAAGAGCTTCAGAAATTCTATAGATGTCTTTGTCCAAAATACATGAGTAAATAATTCATTGTAGTTTGTTTTAATTTTGTTGTGCATATTGGGAATCCCAGATTTCATTTGAGAGGAGTTGACCAGAGTAATGTTAAAACAAGTCTGACATGGACACATTCTTTAGTGTATGTGTTCAGTAAATATGTTATTTATCCTGTATCCCCTGAAACTCAAACTGATTGAAATATTTAATTAAATCACAAAAAAATAAACTGGGGGGTATTTAAATATTAAAACCAAAAAATGTATCAGGCTTAACAATCTGTAGATCTATCAAGCATTACATGGTGATCAATTCAAGTTTGTGTGTGATTAAGCGCATGATTGACAATAAGGGATAGTTTATACAGGTGCCTTGCAAATGCTTTATTGTAATTTAGGCATCCAATCATAGTTTTCACATCTCTTGGTACACAACGTGTAAACCTCTTTCTATTGTCGCTTTCATCTTGTCCATCTTTCCAGCAGACACTGGTGTCTGAGGAAAGTGTCGGCACCTTTGAATGAGAAGCATCACGAGGCTTTCCTCCAGGAAAAGCCTCCTCTTGAATATCTTCTGCTTCCAGCCTGGGTTCACCTCCATGCACACTACAAAAGCAGTGTAGGCTCACACATCTAGGATGTAGTCAAACAGATTCATCATGCAGTGATTATTTTACATGTATGTGACATGTAACCTCACATAGAGGTACTGTGTGTGTGTGTGTGTGTTTGTGTGTGTGCGTGCGTGTGTGCATGTGTGTCTGTATGTGTGTTTGTGTGCATGCTTGTAGGAGAATGGAAGTATTTCCATCTAAAGGATGACATGTTTGGAAACCCTCGACATTTTACGCTTTGCTCTTAATTTTGGCCCAATTTATGTAATGTGGCCATACTTTTTTTGACCTTGAAACCTCAGAGAAACAAAATAAGTGTGTGAATACTGGGTAACGCACTTGGGCGGCTGTGGCTGAGGGGTAGAGTGGTCGTCCTCCAACCAGAAGGTCAGCAGCTCAATCCCTAGTCTTCCCCATCTGCATGCCAAAGTGTCCTTGGGCAAGATGCTGAACCCCAAATTGCCCCTCAAAGAACAAAAAGTGCTGCTCATAGATGCTCTGTATGAATGTGTGTGTGAATGGGTGAATGGCAAACTGTACTGTAAAGTGCTTTGAGTGGTCATCAAGACAAGAAAAGCTCTATAAATACAAACCATTTAGTATTTACACCTGCTCTCAGTCTGAATGAAAGTCTTCACTTTGACCACTTTAGGATTTTGAACATAGTTAATGAGTCTGTCAAGTCACAAAATGTAAATACAATTCTGTCTAGTTTTTTTTACTTGAAACATATATAAGACGAGGTGTTAATTCGGCTGTATGATTATTTTTGAGAATGTATAGTTTGTTGTACGGTTTTGCATCACACAGAAAGGTGATGTTATGTAGCCTCCCCTCATTGAGAGTTTGGTTTCTCTTCTACTGTTCTGTTGCTAAAATATTATTGCATTATACTTAATTTTGATTTGGGAGTTAGAATACACACAGATGTTGATACATCTAATATTTCAATATATGTTGCACTAAATCATGCTACTTAGACATCATGATGCTGCAAACATTTGCTTGAGGATAATCTGAACCTCAAATTGCAATGTGTGTGCCTTGGGATAGAGGGCTGAGAGGTATTCAGTTGATACCAATCTGCAACCTCACCACAAGATGCCAATAAATCCTACACACTGGACCTATAAGGAATAAACAATGCACAACAAAATAATACATAAAACATAAGATATTAGAATGATATAACTAAATATATATAACAATGGAATAACATCAACACTTTAATCACTATGGTGAGTAGATTCATCAACTGGGGTTTTATAAAGCTGTACTTTTGATCAGGGTAGAACATTGTGGGAAGCAATTTTAGCTGTTTCTTCACTTACTGTATTTTTACCTCACTGAATGTCACTTGCTGCTGCTCCTACATGAATCAAATTCACGTGCAGGTATCATGGTTTCGTATTAAGACCAGCACTTATGGTTCCAGTAATGTTATGTGTAGTAAATAACTCTGTCTCTCTCCCTGTCTCTCTCTTTCTGTGTCTCTGTGTGTGTGTGTGTCTCTCTCTCTCTCTCTCAGGCCCCTGAGTCCGGGCGATGTTGAGCACGTAAGGCTGGATAGAATAATTGCATCAGATCTAGTTGGGCACTCTGCCCCTGTCCATGTAGCTGGTCTGCCTTAAGGTGCCATGGCTACAGGGACCCAGGGCCACCGTGACCACATCTTGGAGAAAGCCAAGCTCACGCCACCCACAGGGAGGCGCAGGAGAGCAGAGGGGAAGCCGAAGAAGAATTTCCCCTGCCAGGAGTGTCAGAAGGCGTTCAACAGTCTGGAGAAGTTGAAGGTGCACTCGTATTCTCACACAGGAGAAAGACCCTACCGCTGCTCCCACCCTGACTGCACCAAGGCTTTCGTCTCCAAATACAAGCTGCTACGGTACAGACAAGCAACAGTACATAGCAAGCTGCAGCATGTTGCTTTTCTCTTTATTTTGGTAACATAGTGCTCTGCAGTAATCAGAATGATGTGTTGATAAATAATAGTTCACAGGTCTTGTGTGTATGTATGATGTAAAGCATGCTGAAAACTTGATTGCAAGAATTCTGATTGCTCATACAATGTGTCTGTGTTCCAAGGCATATGGCAACTCACTCGCCAGAAAAAAACCACAAGTGTTCATACTGTGAGAAAATGTTCCACCGCAAGGATCACTTAAAGAATCATCTACACACTCATGACCCATACAAGGAGGCATTCACCTGTCAGGAGTGTGGCAAGAGCTACAACACCAAGCTGGGCTTCAAACGCCACCTCGCCCTCCACGCTGCCAACAGTGGAGATCTCACCTGCCAAGTGTGCCTGCAGCCATTTCCTAGCACCGGGATTCTTCTAGAGCACCTCAAAACACATGCTGGCAAGTCCTCTGGCGGGACCAAAGAGAAAAAGCATCGCTGCGAGCATTGTGAGCGGCGATTCTACACCCGTAAAGACGTACGACGCCACATGGTGGTGCACACGGGACGCAAGGATTTCCTTTGTCAATACTGTGCCCAGCGCTTCGGTAGGAAGGACCACCTGACACGTCACATGAAGAAGAGCCACCCCCAGGAGCTGCTGAGGGTAAAAACTGAGCCAGCTGATTCGCTGGAGCCTATTGTCTACGACTTGGCTTCTGGGGACATCAAGGGTGAACTCCCTGGAATGTTGACGCCAAGGCCCCACCAGCTCAACATGTACACAGGTCCCGTCCTGGACACAGAGCCCTTCCCCACACCCCCACACCCCTTTTCTTTAAAGTACCCACTGGGCTCCAACTTTACCTCATACACCGTCTCCTCACTGGAGCGGGAGCAGAATCTAAAGGGAGAACTGGAGACCTACCTGATGGAGCTGCAGAGCAGCATGCCCTCCTCATCGTCTGCAGCCCAAGAACCCCAACTCTCCTCCTCCAAACTAGAGTTGGAGACTCAAATTAGCGGGCTGGAGGAAGGGAGCGAGGAGGTGTCCTTGTCCAAAATGTCCACTTCAGTTGCAGCAGCCACTGCAGGTGACTCTCTGGCCTCATCCTCCTCTCTGATGGACTTCTCACAGCTTTTCAACTTCCTTCCGCTCAATGGGCCTCCGTACAACCAGGCAGGGGGCAGCGGGGGGCAGGGCGTTGCCTATCAACCCAACGAAGAGCCCACACCTCTCGTCCAGCTGCCCCCCCAGTCGTCTGAAGGCCCAGAGGCTGTAGAGACGCCACTTCAAGGGCTCCCCTCCTCCTTCATTTCCAACCTGAGCACACCCACCACACTGCCCCGATTCCACCAAGCTTTTCAGTGATCCAGTATGTACTGCAAATTGCACACATGCACTCTAACACACACACATACTGACATGCATGTCAAGCTACACAACCACACAGGCAGAGAGACACTGAAACAAGATGCCAGTTACACATGATTGGTGATATTAGAAACTCCCTCCTTGAAATACAACAAGATGTGCAGACAGTAACACATGCAGCAGACACAAAATGATGAGCACTGACAACCCAAACAGAGAGCTCTCCACAGAAGGTTTGGTTTTCCAATGGCAACTATTAGGATGTCTTCTTTGCCCTTATCAGTTATCCACAATTCCCTAGTGATGTGTTCATTTAATAGCAGAAAAAAAATCCTCTAGATCTGAAATTGCAGTGCAAGCAGGAGCCCTGACAAGCAGGTCAGCACAGCTTAGGTTCATACTACAACAGATTTCAATGCAGCACTTCTCTGTGCACTCCATCACTGTCATTAGCACAAAAATCGGCCACATACACATTGCTGGAGTAGAACCATCTTTCGCAGTAATGTGAACCTGATACAGCAAAAAGATATCAAACGTGTATTAAGGAACGTTTACTGAGAAGAGTAACATTTTTCTTAAGAATGGTATGCAGATTCTGAAATGCATAATGTTTTGAACTTTGAACCATCTGATGCTGTCAAGCATCATCTTACCTTTGTTTTAGGTCATAATCATGATTTTAAAGGACCAGGCCGTAGTTTTGGTATGTTTATGTAGATTTACATTAGTGTAGACACACACACGCACACACAATTAATCTAATGAATTATAGGAAATTAAATTAAATACATTTAGAAAGGAAATATTTCTAGTGTAATGTTAAAGCATTATGATAATCAGTAAATAAGCTAAACATGCAAAAACCTGGTCCTTTGATCAATCCTCCACATTCACATTATCATAGACAAGGTACTGAGTAGGAACTACTGTATGGCAGTATTACAGATTCATTTGGGTGATCGATAGATTTTCTGGTCAGGTTTCCTCTTTATTCCCTGACAGAGGATATTTCACAAAAGTTGAAATGTGTCTTTTATGGTTTTTCATCCTGTAACCAAATACACCCAATCACAGACAGAGCTTTTGAGGTAAACTCATCAGGGCAATCACCAAGGGCTGTCGTTCTCTTGTAATCCCCTCTAAAGATCAACTCCACCACCAAAATATAATAAACCTAGATGGAGAGGTGAGATCAATCATATATCTGTTAAGAAGCACCAGTTTTCACTAAATTGTGAAGATTTTGACTGAGATGTTCCCCTTGTTTGGTTTACGTCTTATTTTTTTCAAAGGTTCTTGCAAAATATCAAATACCACAAAGCAAGCACCCCCAAGAATCATGAAAGTTATGAATGCAAAAAATACATGGACACAAACTATCATCTTCACATCCTTCCTGTCTGCAGTCATGGCCTGTGCGTTTGGAAGGAGATAGACTTCTAAGTGTAGTCGGTAGGACTGCCCTTTTTTTCAATGATAGACTAAAACCTTTAGTCAGGAATGAGATGCAAAAGAAGTACTGTTGTATTTCATTATCATAGAATTGAAAACTATCCATAAGAGCCAAATTAGGTACTGCGAAAAATGATTAAGGTGGGTATGGGGCATGAATTTGATACTCTGCTTTAAAAAAATTTTAATAAAGAATAGAAATATTTTCACAGGCTTCCCACTCGCCCCCAACTTTGAAAAAACTCCCTCAACCCCTGTATATGAAATGACCAATACCTACATTAATTGCAAATATATGAAAGGATGTGCTCTGTTTACCAAATATGTTAGCCATTCTATATGTTAGAGACTTATATATATGACATATGCCAGTTTAGTTTTTTCTCACCCAGTGTGGATAATATGGAACTCTTCGAGAATATATGAAGTCCTTAAAATGTTATGTGAAGCTGCCAAAATTTGCTGCTATTTTGATAATTTAGTCAAAGGAATGGGATGTGAAACAGGATAATGAGGAAATAATTTATGAGTGAATGTTTCACTGCCTGCTACTTATTCCATATTTAAAGCCTGACTTTAAATGCTATCCTAAAAGATAAATTTACATGTGCAGATGGTAAATTATTATTTTTTGCTTCCCACACAAAGGTGTTTTGAACTATAACTAGAAAAAAGCAAATATATTATAACCTGCTCCACAAAGTTCCAAAACATTTTACTGTTCATAATCAGGTTACTAGTTTGATGTCCACTGCCCTCTGTCAACCGTCCACTGCCACATGTTTTGACTTCCTCTGGTACGGCTCCACTTCATATTTAGATTAACGTGGAAACAGAAAACATATGTTAGTCCTGCAGGTTTTACGTGCCCTGGCAATCTATGAACATGAACTTTTACATTCAATGAAAAAGTAAGTGAAACTGTAGAAAGGAAACAGTTAAGTATTATTTAATGATAACAATTATGAAAATATACCATCTCACAGTATGCTAGACACATGTTGCAACTTAGACAGCTGGGAATGATATTTACATATCCAACAAGATTGCAGCAAATTCATTATAACATTATTTCTTAAACTTTATCATGGTTAAGGTTCATCTTAGTTTTATAAAGTGGGATATTCACATATACATTACATTAGCATCTAGTGTTGTATCATCTTGTAAATCATTGATTCACCATTTGTGCAAAGCTGCTTACTGGTGGGTGATGGAGGACTTCAGTGGTTTTTGGGAAGATCCTCGGTTAAATATATAGAACAGTTTGAATGTGAAGCAGGACAAAACTGGAAAAGGGCTGAGATTCGCAGCTAATATTCCCTGGATTAAAGATACATCAAGTTCATGAGGCCAAAGCATGCTACTCTGAAATCAGTTGTCTCAGTAGTCTTTCCTGTAAAGCCTTAAAGCACCGTCATTTCAAATGCAGTTCAATATGTTGATGGAGAAAGACACATTCACTGATAGATCACATTTAATGCTGTTCCCACTGCCTTATCTATCCATGTACCTAGTTTTGTCTCTGAGACTTCTGCTTCTTCTCCAAAAGACTGGAGGTGAATCAACTTTTTATGGACAAAATT